TGATTCTATTTTCTCTCCTCTCCCAGCATATCGATTATATTCTTTCTTTAAACGTTTTTAGTGGTTACCCTGGAGTATGCAATATACATTTACAACTAATCTAATTCCTCTTTAAAAAAAGTTTTTTAATGTTTATTTTTGAGAGAGAGAGAGAGCACGCGCGTGCACACAAGTGGGGGAAGGGCAGAGAGAGATGGAGACACAGAATCGGAGTAGTTTCCAGGCTCTGAGCTGTCAGCACAGAGCCCAACGCAAGACTTGAACCCATGAACCATGAGATCATGACCTGAGCCGAGTCGGATGCCTAACCAACTGAGCCACCCAGGAGCCCCATGGTCTCAGTCTTTTAAAGAGCCTGTCTCTGGACTATTCCCTTCATACCTTTACTGAATGCTTCTCAGTGTCACCCCTTCCCCTGGGATGGTAGAGGGCGTGGAGTTGGGTATTTCACTGCCTCCTTGTGGAAGGCTGGTGGAACTGGAGTCTGGGATTTCCTTCGACCACATTAGGTTCTGATAAAACCCTTAGGTAGCTGGCCTCTGGTAAAAGTTTCCCTTGAGGGTGGGCTTTGGTTAAACAGCACAGAATGCTCTGGGCATATTTTTAAATGGTTCCATTTCCCTTACCTCCTGTAGAAACATTAATAAAGAATTCTTCTCTGATCTACACCCTGAGAACTGAATGGGGCCCCGAAGATAAAATTCACAGAAGTGCGGGACCCGCCGATGACAAGATCCCCTGGAGATTTTTAACTCTTAAGCTTGTCCACACTAAGTCTCCAGCAATTTGTCAATCATAGCTGAAGTTTTCCCATTCCTGGCTCCAGCTGCCTCTGCTGTGGGAAGCTGTATCTCCCTGTCTTTTCAATTTGGGGGGCAGCAGTTATCCTTGTGACCTCAATCCTTTGACAGATCCAACAAGAATGGTGGACATTCAGTCTGTTCAGGCGTTCTCTTTGATATTGGGATAGCCACGTCTGTCCGCAGTTTCTGATACAACAGCTTCTAAATTCCTTGGAATTTGCTAAGTGATGGGGGCGGGGGTGACAGGAGCATCTTTTGTTATTCATGATAAGCCTCTTTCAACCCCACCTGAGCTTATGCTAATAAAGCTACTGCTGGGGAAGGGGGGGGGGGGCCTTGATCGCTTCAGAGCAATGGACAATAGAAAGATCTACAATATGACAGAAAGGGGAGCGGGGCTGGGGAGGAGTCCAATCACCAATGGCCAGTGATTTAATCAATCACACCTGTGTAACGGAACCTTCGTAAGAACCCCTGAACAGGATTTGTAGAACTTCGGGACTGCTGAACACATCGAGGTGCCGAGAAGGGGACATGCCAAGAGGGCATGAAACCTCTGAGCACCACCGATGACCCCTGCACCTTCCCCTATGCATCTCTGCCATTTATCTGTTCCTGAGTTGTATCCTTTGTAACAAACCAGGAGTCCTACGTAAAGCATTCTCCCGAGTCCTGTGAGCTGTTCTAGCAAATTGCCAAATCCAAGAAGTGGGTCATAAAAACCTCCAACTGACGGTTGGTCGGTCGGGAGGAGTCTGGTCGGCCTGGCCTTGCAGTTGGCTTCTGAAGTCTGGGTCAGTCTTGTGGGTCTGAGCCCTTAACCAGGGGGTCTGACACTGACTCTGGGTACTTTGTGTCAGAATTAAATGGAATCACCGGACATCTCAGTTGGTGCTGGGTGGTTTGGAGAATGGGTTGTTGGTATAGAAAAACCCACACATTTGGTGTCAGAGGTGACAAAGCAGAAATAAATTCTAGTGTTCTTCGTCGAGGACAGGGGTGATGACCTCCAAACTCCTTACATGTCACACTGGAAACAGTCTTCTATTTAGGTTTTGATTTCTGCTAGAGTATTTTTAGATTCCAAGAACACTTAAATTTTTTTCCTATCACGTGGCGATGGACTCTTAGATATGATAAAAGCAACCAAAAAAAAAAAAAAAATGGACACACTGGGCTTCATCAAAATGAAAACTTTTCTGTGAAACAGAGGACACCGTCAAGGAAGTGAAAATACAACCTACTGAATGGGAGAAAGTACCACGGATCTTACATCTGACAAGGGTGTAGTATCCAGAATGCACATATGTGAAACTGTTAACAACTCAACACTAGAAAGACCACTCAATTTAAAAACGGGCAAAGGTGGAGGTGGGGGCGGGGGCGTTGCCTGGGTGGCTCAGTTGGTTAAGCATCTGACTTTTGATTTCGGGCTCACGTCATGATCTCACAGTTGGTGGGATCGAGCCCTGCATTGGGCTCCTCGCCGACAGCACCAGGCCTGCTCGGGATCCTCTCTCTCTCCCTCTCTTTCTGCCCCTCCCCTGCTTGCGCACACACACTCGCTCAGAATAAGCAAACTTAAAAAAATAATGGGCAAAGGACTTGAACAAACATTTCTCCAAAGAAGATAGACAGCTAGACAACCCAATGAAAAGATACTCAACACCATTTGTCATCTGCATTTGAAATGGAAACTAAAACCACAATGAGACAGTTCACAGCCACTCAGATGGTATCATAGCTAAAAAAAAAAACAACACAAAATCACAAGAGTATGAAATGTACAAAATGCCACTGAATTATACACCTGAACTGGTTCGTTTCATGTTATGTGAATTTTAGCTCAAAAGTTTTCCTGTCTTATTCTATAGCATCCTGTCCTAGATCACGGTTGCAATATTTGGTATTGGCCCTTTGAGGATGTAAGTTTTCTTTCCCTATAAAAGTCTTGCACTCTGGCTCATCCGGTGGGTTTCGTGGAGGGAATCCCCAATATTAGTAATGTTTTTTAGGATTTTCTATTTGGGCTGCTCAAACTCCCCATAGAGACCCTAAAAATCTGCTTGGATGGGAGCAGCTGTAACTGCCAGCATTTGGGGAGCTGAGCAGCAGAAGAGAACAGATGTTGATTCTTTAATAGGAAAGTTGCCACAAAAAATGTGTTCAAAAGCCAAAAACTAAAAGTTATCATTTAGATAGATTTTATAATATCATTAGCACACACTGAAAAAAAAAATTTTTTTTATTTATCTTGAGAGAGAGAGAGAGACAGATCATAAGTTGGGGAGGGACAGAGAGAGGGGGAAACACAGAATCTGAAGCAGGCTCCAGGCTCCAAGCTGTGAGCACGGAGCCCGATGCGGGGCTCGAACTCACGAACCGTGAGATCACCACCTAGGCCAAAGTTGGACGCTTAACCGACTGAGCCACCCAGGCACCCCCACGTCGGCACACATTTTCAATTTTAAGGTGTTTATTTTATAAAAGTTTATACGGCAATACCTGAGACAGCACTTGAACAGGCACTTAATACTCACTAACAAGATTAAATACGATAACCTAGAAATACAAACAAAACTGGATCAGCCATCAAGTTTAGAGGGCAACGAATTTCCCAAAAGAAAGAAGATATTCAATGTAAGAGTACAGAACACTTAGGGCAAGGGAGTATCAAATCCACAGACTCATCACCCATGATAGAGTTAAATATTCAGGAGAAACTTAGAACTCCTTTCGTGATCTCCAACAGGATAGTGCAGATTCTCGGGATAACTAAGAAAACATCACTGATATCCTTTCCATCCACAACCGGGAGGTCACCTCCCAGGCTTCATATATCACAATAATTATCATGTCTAGTGTGTGGGCTGCTGCTAATTCTTCTATTTTAGCCAGGCTCACTGAAAAACTCTTATTAAAATTCCTGCTAGAAGGGCAGCAACAGCAACAGCTAGAGCCATTCCACGATAGAAAATCAGCTGCTTCACTGTCAAAACATCCCCAACGGTGGCCACCGCATACTGATTGTTTTCTTCTATCACCATTAGCTGCAGGGTCTGGCTCTCGGATCTGACGATAGCAGGTAAAATCACTTCATCGGTGACTTCTTTTTCCAACACGGGCAGATCTGATTGCAGAGAACAGTGGAGTATACACTTACGTAGGGGGTTCAGAAATAAAGGGATATTATGGGAAGTTGCACAAGAATGCATCGTAAACGATGCCGTCAGTTACCAGCCAGTACGTGTGAAGTTACGTGAAGAGCGTTTCACAGGAGAACCCAGAGTGGATCTCCCCATTCTAATAAAGGCAGAGACAAGGTTTATTATGCAAGAGAGCAGGCTCTCATAAACTAAGCAACTCTGGCCACACTAACCCGTTTCAGGCTCTCGAGGCAGAGCGAGTGCACTAGACCATGTCCTCTGTTACCTGTTGGTGCAGGCGTGGCCTCTTTGATCCCTTTCACACCAGCTCGAACCTGTGCCTGAGAACAAGTGGCACGTAAGTGGACAAAGCGCAAGTCAGGTTAGGCTAGTACTCGTGTTAAAACTTCATGCAAGCTATCGCTAAAGGTTTCCACCATCCAGCACGGTCCTTTTTGAGCCTGAAATGCCGGTGACGATACGATGTAACACTCAACAACCACTCTTCTCCCCAGTGCTCTGCTCACAATAATGTGAAAAGCTACCCGCTGCTCTAGTTGCAAATGTAACATTTTTTGCACCGTGCACGTCAGTGTTCCTAAGCACTGATATGAGGAATAAAGTCTAAAGGCAAACGGTGCTACCACATAGAGGAGAGTTTATGGCCCAACTTAATACCCTGTACACTTCACTTCCTCCACGAATCACACTACGCTAAGGAAGACATCATACATCACGATGAGGAAAGCCAAAGCCGTGAGAAACCTGGAGGGGGGACAAGAGGTAAGCAGTGACGCTTGGCGCACCTGAGCTCATCCTCCCGTCTCCTCATCGGTGACACCGCCCCTAAGCCGGCCCCCCATCCATCCCATCTCAAGCCTCGACAGAATAAACGGGGCTCACAGTTCAACACGGCGATGCCCACTGAGTCAAGAGCCTGTCCTCTCCATGCAGGGTATGGCTCTGCCCCACCTACTTCCCACCGATCACAGATGCTCTCAAGCATATGGAAAACACGGACCAAAAATGTCGGTAAAAAGAGGCCTAAAAACGCGTAACAACTCAGTGTAAGTAGGGGGAAAAGACGACTACTCTTCTAAGGACTGTTGTACGAAAACAGCAAAATCCTTCCTAAGCTAATTCCTTG